GCTCACATGAAACCTCATAAAGCTGGAAGCATGGGACCTTTTGGACCTCTCAAGGTCCAGATCTATCATCTATACTCAAAGGGACCCCCTATGCTTCACAATCTAACTCAAAATGGTGCAAAGGAAGCCCTAGATCATAGATCTTGACCCAAAACAGAAAAGGAGTTCGATTAGATACCTCAACAGCGTAGATCTGAACTTGAAAACTCTGGATCCACAGCTCCCTTGACCTCCTCTTGCTGGAACAACTTCTCCTTGCTAAGTTAACACACCAAAATCGATCAATATGGCTTTATCTCTCTCTCAACTCGCTCAAGCTCTCAAGGGGTACTCTCTTTGGACAGGTAGCCGCAAATGGAGGCCATAAAGGCCTTTAAATAGGGCTCAGGCCCTGAGATTTAGGGTTTCATTTTACAGCGCGGACTCGTGAGTCCACGCATCGACTCGCCGAGTCCATTCATTAAATCCAATCAGCATTCGCGGTCCTACTCGACGAGTCCCTTTCTTTTCTCAAAAATAAATGATAAAATATAATACCTGGAATTCCGGATGTTACAGGTTATATAGAAACTATATAAAAATTATTATTTTTAGTAGAAGAAAAACTATTTTCATAATATATATTATATGTTAGAAAAAATACCATAAAATTAATGTATGATAATACAATCTGCTAGACAAAAAAAATACTAAGATAATAAAATAATATCAAAAAATAATGACCAGTTATCGTAGAGGTTAAAATAAGTATAGTTGATGTTTTTGGAACTTAAACGACAAAAAACATAAACACTACTAAATTGATTATAACACCTAAATACCAATATTTGGTAATATGTAAACACCTACTAAGCTTAGGTACCCAAACTCATTATAATACGTTGTTTTATATAATATATACATTATAATATTCTTAAACTTCAACCCCTAACATGATTATTTTCAAGATTTTTGAAATTTCACTATTAATTTCCTCTTCCATCATATTTTTCTGCCGAAACCTTACCAATATATATATATATATATATATATATAATATATATATATAGATATATATATATAATAGATATATATAATTATTTTTTCATCAATGGAAATTACGTAAGAGAAAGATAATAATGAAATTCATAAAAATCTTGGGAGTAAATCAAGTTAGGAGTTGAATTTTAAGAATTTTAGACGACTAAATGCATATATGATACAAAATAACGTAATATATTTAGTTTAGGTACCTAAGTTTATATATCTTTAAGGGGATATTCACTTTGTCATATATATATATATATATTATATATATATATATATATATATATATATATATATATATATATATATATATATATAGAGAGAGAGAGAGAGAGAGATAGAGAGAGATAGAGAGAGAGAAATATATATATATATATATATATATATATCTCATCTTCTAATAAAACACTCCTAAACCTGCCACATGACAATTTTTTATACCTCTACTTTGACACGTGACACCTTCTCCTTAATCCTTCTCTCTAATTCCCGCCCACCCCAACCCTTATCGACTATGGAATCATCTATTTATTCCCTAAAATCACGCAGTTGTTTTCTCTAATTTCGGTTTCTTGGTTTTGGTAAAAGAATCAAATTTAAAATACCCACATCCTGCATCAAATGGAAACCTTCAATTCTACCTTACGGTTAAATGGTTTTGTGGAGGTGATCTCTATCGTGACAATGATGTTTTGTGATTTTTAATTTGATGCAGCTTATAAAGTCACTTCCACTCATCTTCCTTTGTTGATCGTTTCTTTGATGTTGTAGTGAAAGAGGATAAACCCTAATTTTAACAAGCGACCTTCTTCTTTTGATTCCATTCCAGGTAAATTTTTAATAAATTCATCGATGTCGATCTGTGTTTTTCTTCCTCTTAAATCTCTGATTCTCAGAGGCTTAGAACATCTCTCATCTCTCATATCCAATAAACAATAGTCAGTTCCTATATTCTTATTCAAATTATTCAAATATTCAAATATCATAAAATCAATCTTTGATCGTTTCCTATTTTTTAGATTCAATCCCCTAAAATCCGCAATTAAATTATCAGTTTCCAAACTTAAATAAAGATGTCTCTTCTGGCTCTTTCTCTCTCATCAAATATGATGATTTCTTCCGCCACCAAATCCCCACCAGGTTCGATTATTTATTTGTATTTCGATTTTTAGCCCTAAATGATATGTGTTGCTTGAACTAGGTTCGATTTGTTTTGGTTGGTGTATTGGCTAGATCATTTTTATCCATAAATCGATTTGTTTTGCTTGAATAAGGTTCTATTTTTTTTGTCATATAATGTTTGATTTTTTTCTCAATATCTCAGGCTTGATATTTTTTTTGTTTGATAAGAGATGAAATAACAATGCTTCTCAGCGGCATGTTTGTGTGTTTATCTATGATAATTTTCTCCTTTTGGCTCCAATACTCTCTGTTTCTTAACCTCTGGATTATCGGAAGCTTCAAAATCATTGCGTTTTGCGACATGGAGCCTGGGGAGTTCGGAAAATGGGAAGCAACATATGGAGGAACTTGAGATGTTTCTGGAGTTTTAATTTGTTGACATTGACAGCACCCTTAATAAGCTCATATATGTATTTATTTCAATTTTTTTGTATATCAGTTGACCGGCTAAATTAAGTACTTTTTGTGATAAATGTGGAAATTCTTTTACCCTACTCGCAAACATAGAGTTGTTGTTTATCCCTTAGTTAATTACTCAAACTATTGAACCAATCATGATTTATTTACCCATAAATCCTATGTTCCAAAGATTTTGTTTCAGTAATGTACTTTGCTTTTGATTTTATTACATGATTAGTTTTTTTTTCCATATCTATGCGTGTTGCTGATTCTGAAGCTAAAACAGATGTAAAAATCCCTCTTGCAACATTTCCCCGATTCTATTAAGTTTTATGATAAAAAGTAATATAATATTGAAATTGACGGTTTCCTTATAATGTTTACTTGTGGACTTTGACACTTTGTTTATGTGCACCTTGATTTTGTTAAGTTTTATAGCATATGTTGATCAAGTTGTGATTATCATCTATAATGGCTCAATTTTGATATACATCTTGCAAGAAGTAGATGGTCATATTCGTCGGTCAAGAATTTGAAGAAACAGAAAAGGAGATCTCCATGTATTTCTAGGATTCAAATCAAATGTACTCACTTTTTCTTTCTTTGATTAAATTTCATTCTGTCTTAATTGCTATCTAAAGGCGTTATTGACATAGCAAGTCTGCCAAGTCGTCTATCACTGACATAATTTCCTGAGGCTATGTCTTTCTAATATGTAGTGAATTTCTAGGATTAAGAAGTTGTTTACGTTGGTGTTGCGACAAAAAACTTATTTTGCGAAATATATGCTTTTGTAATGTATTGTAATCTAAATAAAAGAATATTATGTTGTAGTTGGGGATCATGGGAATTGAACATTCCGAAAATATTTCTGGATTGTGGTTCAATGTTAACATAAAAACATAAAGAAACAAGCACAAAAAGACATTGTAGGTTAACTGTCGGTTATGATTTGTAGTATCGCTTTTGTGATTTTCTTTGAGAATGTAATAGTATGAATCCTATTACTAAATTATCTTCATAAAAAATTGTACTTGATTGTACACAGTCAAAATATAGAAAGCATGTTAGGTTATATAGGGGTAACGGGGTGACCATGAAAAAAGGCATATACTATCTTTTTGTTGTCTGTTTTAAAGTTTGATGGCTCATGCAATCATGGACATTTTTTTTGTTAATGGTAAATGTGTGTAAAATGTTTTAGTAGTAAACTGCAGGTATGTTATGATTTTGGCTATCTTTTATTCTTTTAGTTCGGGGCAACCATTTTTTTGTTAAGGGTGAATGTGTCAATAATGATGATTATTCAAGATCTGAATCAATAGATCATAAACTCTAGGTTTGATGTTTTCTAATTTTTGTTTTTTATATCAACCTTGCTAAGCCACCCTTAAAGTTTATATACAAGAGAAAGGGTACAATAGAATATGCAGGCTAACTATTTGCATCTACCACATCTGAGGACATTTTGGTAATTTTTATTTGGTTGTTATTTATTGTCCGCGTAGTGGAAACTCACAATATTGTTAAAATATGTTATCCAATTTCTTAATTCAAGAACTGATAGAATTATATATGATTTTTGAAAAGAATAACATTACATGGGAATAAAAAACTTATAGATGAAGGGACAACTGAACTGAATTGATCTCGAATGACATATAGATTGGCTGGATTAAACAAATGAATTTTAGATTTAAGAATAGTAATCAAGTACACTTTACATAGGAAGAAAATGGAGCCTTGAAGTTTCTGTTCTCATATTTTGAATTGTTTTCCATACCTTTTTTTCTCTAAGAGTAATTCGAAAAAAAAAAGCATTTAATGTATTTATTTTCGAGTGATTGCCATGTAGACATTTTAGTTGTGTTTTTCATTAAATACTATGGTTTTCTTATTATCTAAGTTTTTTTTTTTTTTTTTTTTTTTTTTAATTTGTCCACTGTTTAGTGACATAATTAATCTTTTCTTTTGGTCAATATCATTTTGAAACCATTTTAAATATCAATTAAAAATAACGATGATATATTTACGAATAAAACATCTAATGCTGTATAAAACTAAATGTTTGTAAGTTTATAATTAATCATTACAATTTTCATAGTTTTCGATATATATATATATAGATAGATATATATATATATATATATTATATATAATATAATCAATTAATTTCTATTAATTAATCATTACAATTTTCGTAGGGTATATATATATATATATATATATATATATATATATATATATATATATATATATATATATATTATAGATATATAGGAGAGAGAGAGAGAGAGGTTAAGCAACTAACGTGCTCAAACAAAATCCCATTATAGTAGCAGGATTTCGTCTTTCTTCTTCCATTCACACCACAACACACACACACAGTAACAATGTCTTCGATTTCCGCAGAAAATGAACAAACAAGTGTGTTGCTTGTTACAGCACACGCTCAAGGTCACATAAACCCCATGCTAAGGCTGGGAAAACTTCTTGTTTCTAAAGGCCTCCATGTCACTCTCACTACCAATGACCTCGCCCTAAAAACCCGCTCCTCCACCATCGGCGGCGTCCACCTTGAGTATTTTTCCGACGGCCTACCTGACGATCACGATCGACTGAATGGCAATATAGACACCTTCATGATTTCGATGGGTAAGTTTGGACCCGGAAGCCTCTCAGCCCTAATCCGATCCTCCGGTCGTAAATTCGCATGTCTAATCAACACCCCTTTCCTCCCTTGGGTGGCTGACGTCGCGGCTGAGTTTGAGTTGCCCTGCGCCATGGTTTGGATCCAAGCTTGCACAGTCTTTCATGTATTTAACTGTTTTTACAATCGTCTTAACGAATTCCCAACTGAAAACAACCTTGATATGACCGTTAATTTGCCTGGGCTTCCATCGCTACGCGCGGAGGATCTACCGTCGTTTGTTCTTCCGTCGAATACCATGTTTACGTTCGATGGCATATTGAAGGAACTCTTTTATAATTTGCACAAGTATAAATGGGTGTTGGGAAATTCCTTCATGGAGCTGGAGAAAGATGTGATAACGTCGGTTAATGACGCCGGCCTTCCATTTTGGCCAGTAGGACCGATTGTTCCGGCGACCCTTTTTGGGAAAGAAGACGCCATTGACGGCGATCTTAAGGGTTTAAATAAGTTTAAATCCACAACCGAGAGTAATTGTTTGGAATGGTTAGACAAACAACAGCCGGCGTCAGTTGTTTATATCTCTTTCGGAACCCTTGTCTTTTCATCTGAGAAACAAATAGAAAGCATAGCAACTGGTCTGAAAATTTCGAAAGTGCCGTTTCTCTGGGTGGTAAAGCTGCCGGAAAATCAAGAAACTCATCAATTTGAGATCTTGGAGGAGATTAAAGAACAGGGTTTGATCGTGAGATGGAGTCCGCAAACTGCTGTGTTGTCACACCCATCAATTGGGTGTTTCTTAAGTCACGGTGGGTGGAACTCAATGATTGAAAGTGTCACCGCCGGTGTACCAATGGTTGTTTGTCCACAGTGGACTGACCAGCCGACGAATGCTAAGCTTGTTACCGACGTTTGGGGCATCGGGGTGAAACTAAATAAGAATCCAGAAGCGTTTTTTGATGGGGAAGATGTGGCAAGATGCGTGGAAGAGGTTTTGACTGGGCCTAGATCGGAGGAGTTCAGAAAGAACGGGGCGGAGTTGAAAAGGGTGGCTCGTGAGGCAGTGGCAGACGGTGGTTCGTCGGATAAGAACATCCAATTGTTTGTAGATGCAGTTTCTTCTTGCTCATGAAATGTATGCAATATTATGCTGTGCTTTGTGCAAGATATCTTGTACTCTCCCTTTAGTAATAAATTATTATTGGTTTGTCATTATCAAGATCTGTACTGACTTTTGTTGTCATTTTTAGTAATTTTCAGTTCAAAACATATTCAATAATTTAGATTAGTAATATGCATTAAGCTTTTTCTTTTTTTAATGATAAACAAAACCAAATTGGTATCTCCTTTGACTAATCTAATTATTTGTACTGAAAAATAAAATTAAACATAGGGACTAAATGAGCCAAATATGTCGCTACGGTTTTGGGGTGTATCGATCAAATACGTAACCCGTTTCCTTTATTAATTTTGTATTTATACTTTGTTTTATTGTTTAATTGTCTAAAAAATTATAAGTCTTTTCTTGTAAAAGAAAATGGTAAAAAATAATTAAGATTCATAAACCCAGATGCTAACTGTTAGTTAATTTAGATTCATAAGTTTAGTTGCTAATGTTAGTAAACCGATTAATAAACAAAAAAGGAAAAGAATTTTTGGATATGTTACACTTTTGAATAAAATTAAGCGTCTTTAAATAATTTGGTTTTGAAATATTAGTTGCGGCCCTCCTAACTTTGATAGTTCGTATTCTGCTCATCCATATCATAAGGCCTTTAGGTGTATGTAAGTCTTACGAAAGAGTCTATGGCTTAGGTGGCATCTTGGCCATGGTCGTACACACCACCCCGTTACCACAGTCATGGCCTTTGGTGGAGAGTGGCATGCTGGGTCAGAGACCAATTAGAAAGGCTTTGGCTATCTTCTTTTCTTTTCTTTTTATCTTTCACGATCTTCGCTAAGTGGGAGTACTCCATAACCTTATACTTTGTTGATGTGGTGGTGGTTTTGGTTGAGTAAAAAACTCGTGCCCTTTGGTGTGGGTTGTGTACCCCACAACCTAATCATTTTTTTTAATGTTTGTGGGTATACCCGCAATGTCATTCGTGTATAATGGCAAAACCAGAAATTTTGATGAGAATGGCTAGTGTGGTTGGTGTGAATATTTTAAGGAAAGACGATAGAAGAAAGCAATAACATATCTATAATAAAAAACCATATGAAGACGATTAAGCAAAAGAATCAACAACACTTGTGGCAGATCCAGTCGTATATCTTGAAATATTCAAACAAATATCTAATAGTTATACTAAAGTTTTTATAATATTACCCGCCGAAGTCATATACCTTGAAATATTTGCATAATTTTATCATCACTAGTATTTTCTAAAATCATTTTTTTTCAATATATGACATTAAATTATCACTCAAAATTGATCATTTATTTTATTGTGTATTTCAGTCTTTATCAATTTCATTGCTAAAAATGCACGTTCCATACTTGATGTTGTAACCGTTAACATTAATGCACATTATATAAATATATATATATATATATATAGATATAGATATATATATATATATATTATATATATAGATATATATATATATTAAATTCCAAGGAGCTTAGGAATAGTATCTTTTTAGGCTTTAGGTTTTGCCACAAAAGTTTACTGAATTTTACACTTTTAGTCCCTAAAGTCAAAATTTTTACATTTTTGCCTTTTAATTAAGTTTTTGTGCCTTAAGGTTTTTGCCACAAATCTTTAATGACTTTGACACTTTTAGTCCTTGCAGTCAAAGGTTTTACATTTTGGTGTTTTTGCCACAAATCTTTAATGAATTTGACACTTTTCGTCCTTGTAGTCAAAACTTTTACATTTTGACATAAAAAACATAGAAAACTTCCTTTAAAATTTTGCCACCATATTTTCCCAACTTTGACAACTTTAACATTATTGCCACAACATTTTTTGATTTTCTCCACCAATGTCCCTTCTTTTCGTTGTACACTTTTGACATCTAATTTTAAGGGTTGTCGACTTTCTCCCCTATTTATGGTGATTTACAATTTCAGCACATATTTTTTAAAGTTGGCCGATTTTTTCCATATTACCCCAAAAGCGGCGTAGCCGCGGGTTCTTTACTAGTTTCAATAGAAGATAAACATTAGTAAAGATTTATGCTTCTTTTCTTTGACCATCTTTTTGTCAAGGTCTCTAATGATGTTTAACTAAATAAATTGTTCATCTTCTCGTACATTCATAATGTAATTTTTAAGTTCCAATTCAAGAACTCAAAGATCATATTGTGTTGTAAACTTTTTCAGATAAAATGTGGTCATTTTCATTAGTTTATCCGAATCAAAAACTTTAAAAGACTCACTCATGCACAAAAAATCTATAGAAATAAATAAATTAATATTGACTTCACTAAAGTTATGGTTAAGCTCTTGAAATTACATATCAATTGTTGTGATAAATACATCAACTTGATGATGGTGCAAATTGCTAACCTGTAATAAAATGAATCTTTTATATACTTATGAAAATATACAATAAATAAATCAACTTGGTAGTAGCACAAGTTACTAACATGTGAATCTCTTCAGCTAATGTTCTTTAAGTTGCTTGTTTTTTCCTTAAATTATATTGTTGTTTGTAGGAAGACAATAATGTTTAACATCCAGGGAACACATCAAAGAAATCATTAATCTATGTATGATTCTTTGAAACAGACACGAGAGCGAATTATAACCGGTGAACAAAACAATAAACAAGTATTCAAATTTTGTTACCTTCATAACCAAAGTTTTTGATTCACTAAATACACCACTCATGTTACTAGCACTTGAGCACCATCGCAGCCCTACCCTATGATCATAGTATGACTTAAGTTCCACTTTGATAGCATATCATAAATGGTAGCCTATAGTGACAAAGATGAAGTGTCGCTAACATTTTTAAGATCAATAATCATTTCGACAACTTCACAGTTTATATTTAATAAACCACAAAACAAATGTCAATTATTCTTTACAAGACATCATGTGACCCGTCTAAATCACTCGGGAAGGACATTGATGTTTTTATTAGACCGTTGGTGGCTGAGATTAATCATTTATGGTACTCATGAGTATGAAAGATACAACGACAAACACATGCTTCATAATAAAATTGGTCTTGTTATGGACAACAAATTACTTCAGATCTAGTAGTAGTTTATCCAGTTGGATCAGAAAAGGATACAAAAGCATGTCTGACTTGCAATGGAGATACTCATTAATACCATGTAACAAATAAATTCGTATATGTTGGCCATCAACGGTTCTTAGATGTTAAAGATACATAGATATGGAGTATGGACTTTAACATGAAATACAAGATAAGATCCACTCTGAGACAATTTAGTAATTAAGACATAAAACCTCAACTAGATCACCTACTAACTCATATACCTTGTAAACATCATGAATTTAGAGGTGTTAAGAGAAAGCAGGAAGGGTTCAAGTTAAACTGGTCAAAACGAAGTGTGTCATATAGCAACGAAGTGTGTTATATAGCAACGGCGGTGTCATAGCTGCAACAGTCCAGTAGAAAAGACATTGGTAATAACGCCAACATATAATAACAATGACATATAAAAATATGCAACGGGAATTGGTGACGACGTATAAGCGGGGTATGAGTACAAGAACCAATGCACAAGGACAAGGTTTGAAAACTCAAACCTTGAGTTAATCGTTAAAATCAACGTCTTCTCTTAATATAAAGTTCCAGTCGAATCTGGTAAACCAGTTAGGACTTGAAGAAGATATTAAACAAAGTGTTCAAGTAATAAATGAAGAAAACTTAGAGTATAATCAATGCAAATATATTTAAAGAATAAGAAGAATGTTATGAAAGAACTTTGACTTGAAGGTAAAGTGAAAGTGATGTGTAGAGAATAATTGCTATTCTTAGTTTATAACTTTGAATTGTTCACACACACGAAAATGTTAAAACATTCAATCTTTATATAGTGGAGGATGAACATAGTACAAACCGAGAAACATTCCTAGGACTGGATAATAATCAGTGTTTGACAAACTGATATCTAAAAGATACACAAAAGTAAGTCCTATGAACTGTTACATCAACAATAAGACAAAATGCATTAAATGCTTAAACAGACTTCTGATCTCGGAATTGCCTTGCTCTCGGATTGATCTTCATTTCGAAACTTCAATTCATCTCGGACTCAACTGACATCGGAACTGATTGCTTGTGATTACTAGAGGTTCACTTTTCATGATTCAACAATCTCCCACTAAGTGAACTTAGAAATCATATCAGCTTAGTTGGCTTCTTCATTGATAAATAGATAAGCTCTGTAGAGCCAATTTAGGACTTCAAGGTACCATTGGAGATGGTTGATGAATTTGTTCTTCACGTGCTCCGGAGCATCTGACTTAGCTGCATTTGAGATGAACTTTTGGAGGATCCTGGTGGGGACGAGGTACTGGTTGAGGACTCGAAAGAAATCGTTTTTGTTGGTCTTCTTTTTTAAGTAGACATATCCGAGCACTACTTCCTGAATAGGTACTTCTACCAGGATTTCTGCTTCAGACAGTTTGTAGTTGATAACGTGCCCTAGCAAGCACGAAAAGAGTCGCACACGGCCGTGACAGAACGGCTCAAGGCATAGCACGCTCGGCAGGACAGACCCATCAGAGCTTAGTGTAGGGTTTTTAGTATACTACAACATCTTATGGTGCACATACAAACCTAAAAGCTTTGGATCTATGTTTTCTCTAATTATACATGCAATATTGTTTCCAAAGCTTTAAGCTTACAACTAGCATACAAATGATATAAACAACATAAAATACTAGTTAGGAGTTTACCTCTTTATGTAGCTAGTAGAACTTGTTGTATTTGGCCTTTAAGAAATTAACACCAATAGTATGAATGCATCAAATGGTTCACAACACATCTAGGACAAAGGATGACATTTTGAGAGAGTATTCCTTTCACACAAAATCAGCTCATAGTTCTCTAAGAATTGATGCACACGATTTTGGTCATGGAGCAACATATTTATATGTAGGATTCCAAGGGTCATGGGTTAACCCTAATCCATACCCATGGGTTT